AATTAAACTTGGAGACATAGATTTTCTGTTACATTGCGCAGACCTCATTAGTTTTACACTCAAATCTGGTCATATTAATTTTCTGATTTGCATAATTAGTTTTCAGCTAAGTAATTTAGAATTATATTTAATGCGTCTCCAATACTCTCAGCACATGGGAGTTCTTTCTAAGCTTTCTTTGATTTAAACTGTTAATTACTGTTCATATATATAAACTGTTGGAAACACTTGAGACACTGAACCTAAAGTCACTTTGTATTACCATATTCAATGTAGATTTACACCTCACAGATCAATGCCAACCATTACTATACTGAAGTCAGCTGTTGAACTTTCCCTATCATGTTTGGGTGCAGTGTCTAGTGTTAAAATGTGTCGACAGTCCTATAAATTATATAGTATACATCAAGCATTGACCTATGTAGGACTATGAGATAAACATGACATGACAGCTGGACACATTGTTTGTCTGACACTCGTCCCTTCATCTCGACACTGCATTTCTGCATTGGTAGGAGAGCAGGGTGAAACACTACTGTTGAAGTACTGTAATTTAATATGACTTGTGCAGAGTTTTACCGACTGTAGTTTCAAACATTTTTTGTTTGCATGGTCCTCTTTTCCAATGTTAATACATATATTAGGTATACATATATATGTGAAATGAACTTGTAATTATAGATTAATCAATGATTTTATTTAGAATTGTAACATTTGTGTGCTTGAGCTTCTGTGTAAGCAAACAATATGAAATAGGTTTGAGAATGTTCTTAAGAACGCCCTTAAAACACCACCTCAGTCGTGATTTTTTGTAAGAGGCATAGCGGATTGCATAACCGTACGTATAGTAAAACCTTTTTAACATAAACAACTAGCTATATTTGACTTGCCAGTCGCCACCTCTGTTATATTGGTAGTATACCTAAATAACCCTTTCAAGCTTAATAGGATCTTTTGTTATAATTAATGCAAACTACCGAGGGTCACACAAAATCATGGGTTGTGTACATTTCATTTTGACCAGACTGAGCTCTTGTCTCCAGACCATAAAGTATTTCCAGGCCGATTATTAGCACCAACATGGACAGAAGTTGGGAATCTGCAAGCTTACACTTGAGCACCTCTCCAACACGCTAGCTACATTACCAGGACCAAGAATTGGTGCAAATACTAACTAGTGAGTGTGCGAGTGATTTCCAAACAAGTGTTAAGCAGTAATGTTGTACACCCAGGTGAATTGTACATTTTTACGCGTTGAGAAATTAACCTGTGCAACCATATCAGTTTCCTTACCCAGACTGAATTGTCAAGATCAGCTATGGTACTGCATGCATTTTTACACCAGATGTTGGGGTTGCCCGATTAGCATTGGCACTCCCTACCAGTCAAAATCTAGAGTAGGAACACATGCAGTTAAACCACAAGTATCATACATAATGTCACACCATTATGCCCACAAGTATCATTCATAATGTCACACCATTATGCCAATCATTTCCTGGATTCTCCAGTTTGCCATTAGAAAAGGATTGTACAATGTCATTGAGCTTTAAAAACAAAAAGGCTAGTTTGCACACTGCACAAAAGAAACAATTTGAAACAGCGCCCTCTACAGACTGGGACTAACTAACGAAATTTAGTTGGATTTGAATTGGTGATAAAAACAGGCAAACCTTGCCCAAATACATGCATTAGCTGTGAATGATAAAATCAAAAGCTGATACTATTGCCATGTCAATAAGAGGATCTATTTGATTTTCTATTCCTGGTTTTTAGGCACATCTCATGAATTTACTGTTATGTAGTAAAGTTGAGCAAGGCATGAAAATCTGTCACCAGTAAGAATTTTAGAATTGGATCCACAAAACCAAAGGTCCCATGATGTACTTGGTACATTTGTATGTATAAACAAAACCTGTTGATACTAGTATTGCTTGCAATGAATAATATCATTTTATATTTTATGGTACTAAGTATCTGTACACATTATTGGCACCATTCTACCAGCTTTGCAAAAAAGCAAGTATTTGAGGTAAGATACAGCTGTGAACATAAACGGTGGAGGTACAAGTTGCACACTATAATAATACCGGGTAATAATAATGTTTATTCAACCTTTGTATCGGCAGCATGAAAACAGTAATACATATATTTAAATTACATTCATCATTTCTTATCTATATTGCCATAAATCAGTTACATATTTCCTAATTAAAGCTGATGAGGTATTTCCCACATTTTCATTTATGTTCCAT